CCGCCTCCACGAACTCCTCCTGCGTCATGGCGCACAGCTGCGGGCCGCTGACGTCGAAGTGGCAGAGGGCGATGCGGCTGGCATCCAGCTTGTACTGGTCACAGCAGAACTGCAGCCAGTCCCAGACGTGGCCCCTGGTCCAGTGTTCGGGGTGCACGGACGACCAGCAGGGGTCACAGGCTGTGCCGGGGGAGAGGGACGTGAGGTGCGGCTCCAGGCACGCCAGAGGGGTGCCACGCGGGTACTGTCCCTTATCGTATGAGCTGGGGGCCTCTGGCCCTGTGTTCTGCAGGGGCCGGGTCACTGTCCCTTGTCCTGTGAGCTGGGGGCCTTTGGCCCTGGTAATCTGCAGGGGCCAGGTCACCTTCTCCTCTGCACAGAAGACCCGGCCCCATGGGTGGGCTCGGAGCCAGACACTCAACAACAGGGTGAGAAGCCCCCAGCCCTCGTTCTGGGGCCTAGAAGAGGGTCTAGTGAACAAGCAGAGGGAAGGGCCCCAGCCCCTCGGGGTGAGGCAGTGTGCTGTCCACAGCACACATTCAGAGCCTGACGGGCCTAGGTTCAAATCCTGTCTGCCACTTTCCACCTGGGCGGGGCCTGTAGACGTGCGTGTCGACTCCCCTTTGTGAAATGGGGGTGCTGGGCCCAACTCCCGGGCCGTTGTGGAGCTCTGGGGAAGCGTGGAGGGTAACTGCAGATACTGAGCTCCCTGCCCCTGCCCTGCTCCTCTGAGACCTGGCGGCTGGCCCACGGGGCCTTGCAAGCCCCTCGTGACCGCTCCTTCTCTCAGGGAACTGGCCGGCGGCCGGGGCAGGCGCGGAGGCAGGCCTCACCCCTCTCCCATAGTTGACGTCATGAGACTAGAGGCGTGAGCCTGACACGAAGCAGATAGGCCCTGCCGCCCGCTGGCTGGGGAGCTGGTATGGGACCGCATGACCACACGGGCCTCTAGCGCCTCGAGGTCTGCTGGTTCTGGGCTGACGCAGCCCGAGCCCACATGGGCTGCCGGCCCGGACCACCCTGTACCGCGGCCGCCGAGCCTCCCAGCCAGTACCCCACAACTGTCTCTGCAGCCTCGGCATGTTCTTCGGGATCAGTAAACGTGGTGGGAGGCACCCCCAGACTTGGGGCCCCCTGAAACATGCGTGCAGACCAGCGCATGGACAATTGCCAATCCGTCCAATTGCCTGTGGCATGCTAAAAGCAACAGAGGCTGGTTCGAGGCCCCTGGCCTGAGAGGACAGCTGGCACTGGCCGTGGGTCGTGCACAGCCTCCCGCCATCCTGTGCCGAGGGCCGGGCCGGCTGGACACCACTCAGAGCTCCACGGGCGGCTTGGAGGAAGGAGCGGAGGAAGACCCGGAGTGTCATTCTTGAGTTCTGGGCTTCCTGGGGGAATCTCTGCCCTCAGCCCTGCAGAGGAGCCGCGTACGTGTACACGGCTGTGCGTGCCGTCTGCCCGCCCATCCCAGGGCTCACCAGCCCATCCCGCTGTCCCAAGGAGAGGTGGGCAGGGTGTGAAGGAGGGACCCGCTCCTTGGAGACTCCGTGACAGAAACAGCCCTGCGCGGTGGCCACTCCACAGCAGAGCTCCGGTGTCCACGTCGGTGAGCCGGGAGAACTGTCGCCCAGGGGCTGCCCTGCGGTCGAGCAAGCGTGTTTCCGTGACGGCCGAGTACTCAGTGCCCTGGCTCTTACTGGCTTGGTTCCATTTTTCTTCTTGCTCTTATTAACACTGTTAATGGCGGCCTCCATGAAGACTGGGTTGTCTTACCACTACGCGGTTTGGTCCCTGTGCCTCAGGAGGTCACAGATTGGGAACTTGAGGATCGTGGAGGACTCTCCCAGGATCCCACATCCCCTGTGGCGGAGCTGGGATTTGAACCCTTGTCTGAATTTGAAAGCTGTTGTTCTTGCCAAGCCGTGCATGCCCTCAGAGGGTCAGGGTGCAGGGAGAGGAGACACGGCGAGGGCAGCAGAGGTGGGCAGAACCCCACAGAGCGTGCATCCGAGGAGAAGGGCCTTGCAAGGCGTGGCGAGGGGCCAGCACAGCAGTGCGACTGCGTGGTGCCGGTAAGGGCTGCCTGCGTGCTGGCCTCCCTGGCATGACCGTGGTGCTGCCGGTCCCGTCAATGCTGCCTCTGCAGCCCCTGTCCCCAGCAGAGCGGGGGCCCTTCGGGTCCCAGCAGGTCAGCACTCTGCTGCCCTGCTGTGTGCCCACCCAGGGGATGCATGCCTGTGCAGCCGTCACCGCGTCCCGGTCCTCCCAGGAGCTGTGCCGGCTGGCAAGGCCAGGCCACTTCCCCTCCTGACTCAGCCTCTCTGTGATGTGGACTGCGGGAGCTGGAGCCCCAGTGACAGGCTCGTTTCACTTTAAACTCCTAACCAGAACTTCCCGTGCACGGAGACCGTGTCAGTACTCTGCCAAGCTGCTGAGGCTGGCGTTGCAGCCAGATGAGAGGAGTGCGGGGCCGGGGAGGCACAGCCTGTTTCCGCTCGTGCCCACTGGCTGGCGAGCGCCCTGGAGGCAGACAGTCTCCTGGGAACTGGCCCTGCCTAGCCGTGCTTTCACCTGCTGGGGTCTGGGCCTGAGTTCTGCCAGAGCTGCGGGCAAGCCGGCCCCCCGGTCTGGTCCTGCCGGCCCACCAGGCCCCTTGCTGGGCTGCGGTCAGGGCAGCCTCGGCCTTCCCGTGGGAAGGTCGCCACGTCTCCTGCCCCTCCCCTTGGCACTCCCACTGGGCTGTTTTCTTTGGCACTTGGAAAGGCCCTTATTGTTTCTGGAAGTCCGGAGGGCCACGCCGATTCGGGTTCGCAGAAATGCAGGTGGGGCGAGGCGGGAGGAGGCAGCGTTGCTGGCAGGCTCCCTGAGCACTCCCTGGAAGGTCACCCACAGAGCCCAGGGCGCTGCCTTCCTCGCCTCCTCGCCCTCCTCACCCTCCTCAGCCTGGGGAAGAGCCGTGGCCATCCTCTGTGGCAGGGAGGGTGGCAGAGCCCACCCTGGAGGCGCTCTGTGGTGGCATGAGTGTCCACAAGGGGAGGGCTGGAGAGGGGAGGCAGGCAGGAAGTGGGGAGGCAGGTGGAGGGAAGGGCCCAAGGTAGCCAGAGGGGGTAAAGTTAAGCGTCCCGGAGCAGCAAGCCCCTCCGCCCGCCTGCCCGTTCTTCCATGCGGACAGCAAGGTTTCTCCAAGGAGAAGACCAGGAAGGGCCCTTTCCTTCCTTCTGTCCTTCTGCCCTTCCTACTTTCTAAAGAGTTATTAAGTTTTATTTATCATAATTATTATTTTTTTAATTTGCTACAGGGCATACATGCTCAACAGAGAGACAGAGAGACAGAGAGAGAGGAAGCAGGCTGCCAGTCCGGGACTCAGAGCACAGCTGGCCATGTGGGCCCAGCACCTCAGCCACTGCGCCACCTGCTGGGCCCAGGAGCCCGTTCTAGGCAGATTCTCGCCGTCCCTCCCGGCGGGGCTGTCCCACGCCCTTCCTCCCCAGGACTCTGCAGCCAAGGCCACTTACTTTCTAGAGCCTCTCTCAAAGCAAAAATGTAGAGGAAGATTCTGAGTTTTATATTACATGAAATATGAGGGGCTTCAAAATGTTCACGGATAACGCATATTATACAAAAGCGATATGGATTTCAACTTTTTTTCGCACCAAAATAAACTCGCACTTTTTTTTTGGGGGGGGTGGGAGAGGTTTTTGCTATAGGGCATGTGTGCTTGCCAGGAAGAGAGAGAGACAGAGAGACAGGAAGCAAGAAATCACCCCCCAGGGGGGATGGCCATGCCACAATCCCTTCTCCTCCATTCTCCTCTTGCGATCTTGGGCATTCATGCACACGCGCCTGGCATGAGTTTAAGCCACTGGGTCTGGGACTCGAACCGTGGGCTGCTACATGGGAGTCCAGCTACATAGCCATTATGCTAACTGCTGGCCCCAGTTCGCACATTTCTTTTTTAAAAGATTTTTGCTATAGGGCACGTACACTCATAGGAGAAAGATAGAAAGCAAGAAATCACCCCCCAGGGGGGATGGCCATGCCACAATCCCTTCTCCTCCATTCTCCTCTCGGGATCTTGGGCACGTACTCACATGTGCCCAGTGTGAGTTTTAAGCCGGGTCTGGGACTTGAACTGCAGTAAACTACATGGGAGTCTAACAACATAACCATTATGCCATCTGCTGGTCCCATAAGCTTGCACTTTAATTTCATTTTCCAGGGACGTTTTGAAGCTCCGTGCTAACCGCCCCCTCAAGGACGTGCAGCGGAACTACTCCTCAGCAGGCTTAGAGGCGGCTGGGACTCAGAGCTGCGAGCTCTGTCCCTCTGGAGGACCTGAGCTTTGTCCTCGGCTGGTGGGGGGTTTGTGGAGCTGGGTAACCTGCCCATGGTGGGCTCAGGTGTTCTGGCTCCTCCTGGAGTAGAGGGACATGGTCATCAGTTGCCATGCTACTTCTGATGGCTGGAGGGCACGCATGCTCCCAGAGACAGATGGACGGAGGCCCCCATGGAACATGAGCATGCCGCAGTCCTTCCCCTTCTCTCCACCCTGTCAGGGTTCGGGGCCCACAGACACTTGCACCTGGTGTGTTCTTCCAGCCGCCAGGGCTGGGATTTGAACCGAGGTCAGCCATAGGGGACCTGACTCCCCAGGCACTTGGCTCCACTGCTGTGCTACGGGACTGGCCTCCGCGCATCTGCAGTAGCAGGGGCCGTGGGGGCGTGCGGGTACCCGAGCTTGGGCTGTGGAGATGGCCCTTTGGAACATGGAGTCCGGCTCCCCCAGCCTGCCCGCCCCCCGCAACCCTAGCGAGCTTCCCTAACCCTCTGGGCCCTGGCCCCTTCAGCAGCAGGAAGAGGAAGAGCAGCACCATCGGGGCACCTACGTCCTGCGGCTGAGCCCAACAGCCACCTGCCGCGCTGGCTCAGCTGACGGTGGAGAGGTCAGTGGAGGGCCTGCAGAGGGTGCTGCAGAGTGGCACCTGCTCACACAGACCCTGTCTTCCCTGCCGTCACTCAGATCTTTTCTGTGGTGGTCCTAGAGGGGCCTTCCAGGGCCCGAGAACTGCCCTAGTTTACCCTCCGCTGCAGAGGCAGTATGCAGGGTTCTCAAGTGTTCACGGAACTGGAACAGAAGTTTGTTTTGCTCCGAAACAATGGAAACCCACACACACTATTTTCCTAATACGCAGTTTCCACGAGCTTCTTAAAAGCTCTCCGAGGAGCGAGATTCAAAGAAAAGGCGGTCGCATGTTGGCCCGGTCGCCCTGCAGTCCAGAGTGGAGCGGGTGTGTGGCGGGGCAGGAGCGAGGCCAGGGTACGGTGGTGGCTTGGAGGAGCAGTTGCCAGATCCTGAGGATCTGCTAGGAGTGCCGATCAGGGCTGGCTCGTGGCACCATGCTTACACCCTGCATGTGGTGAGCCGGACTCCATGGATGACTGAAGTTCAAGTCCCAGGCCCAGCAGCTTGAAAAACATGTGCCCGAATCCTGGCGGGTGGGGAAACGGAGAAAGGGTTGTGGCCTGGCGGGGCCCCAGTCTGGGGAGCGCGGTCTCCTTGGCAAGTGCACATGCCCTCTGGCTAGAAGCCGCAGTGCGGGCGTACACCAGCTCTCCCCGCTTACGTTTTTCCACAATCACGGTTTTTTATTTTGGAAAGCTGAGTACAGGCCAGGGTGCACCGTGGTCTGGGCCGTCCGCCCCTGCAGCCACGCCCAGCTCTGGCCTGCTGTGGCGAGCAGGTGGCATCCCTGTGGTGGCACCCTGACAGCACAGATGTGGCCGCACTCTGCCATCGCACACAGTCAGTTTCCTGCTCGGGCCCAGCCTCCCTCCAGCCCTCGTGGTGAGGTCACGGGTCTGGAGAGCGCGGGGTGCTTCGTGCCGTCCTCACCCTTTGGTCTCAAGCGTCTAAGCTGTCAGACACTCTGAGTCGGAAAGCCTTGGCCCAGACCTGCATCCTGTTGCTTTGAGTGACATGCGGGAGGAGGCCGCTTTCCCGGGAGTGCCAGCCTACCCAGCGTCCCCTTGCTGGGCCCTGGACGTGCTGCACGCGGCCATGCCTCTAGCTGAGGAGGGGACCGTCCCAGCAGGGAAAGCAGGTCTCAACAGAGGCGGGGGTCCAGGTAAGTGGCAGTGCCCACCCCGGAACCATACTTGGATGGGCTCCATGGGAGCCCTGAACCCAGATGGTTTCCTGAGGCAGGGGAGGCCTTGGGGCGCGTGTCGGAGCCTGCCGGCCACCAGGCATGTTTGCAGGGAAGTGTCCAGGCCCAGCTGGCTGGCCCACATCCCTGCAGAGGAGGCTTCTGCGGAAAGTCAGGTCAATGTACCGCCTCTCTGGGTGGCTGTGATCTTGTCGGGGAAGACAGAGGCCTTGCCAGAATGTCTCCCACGAGTGGGACTCAGAGGAGACACGGACTGGAAGGCTCGCCTGCTCCAGGTAGCCCGGAGAGAGGCCCTCACTGGGCACCAGTCCTGGGCTTTAGGAGGTCAGCGTCTTAAACCCAGAGGGTGCGACAGCAGCGAGAAGTCCATCTTGTCTTTTGGGGATCTTGGGAGCTGCCACCCCGGGAGGGTACTTGATTTTTGTGGGCTCATGCCTGGTGGGCTTCTAGCCTCTCGAGGGGTGGGGAGACAGGAGGCCGTGTCTGCAACACCGCCTGACACAGGGGCCGTGGAAGCATCTGGAAGAGCCTGGCAGCGCCCTGGTCTGCCCTCTCATTGCGTGGGGTGGAAGGGCCGAGGCCTCGGGGGAGCAGGCTGCATCTGGGGACCCCACAGATGGTCAGATTGCCTCTGTTAGCGCGGCACGTCATTTATTGCACTAAAATACATGCAGGGACTTCAGAAAGCTCATGGGAAAATAAATTAAAATTTGCAAAATGTTTGACATCCATGCATAGACTTTTTTTTTTTTTGGGGGTTTTTTTTTTTTTTTTTTTTTTTTTTTTTTTTAGG